GTTTTCCTGCTGTCTGGGCTCCATTAAAGAGATTTACCCTCACTTCCTATTCTGATGACGTTTTACTGCACAGGAAGTGAAGAGAAATTCCCAACAGCAACACACATTGAAATAATTTATTCAGCAGATAATTATTTAAGAGTAGGTAAAGGCTGTAACCCTTGTCAGATATTTATTTCAACTTTCTAAAATCTGCGCCTATGTAAATAAATTAAAATTAAATAAAGCTAAACAAAACTTAACCCACGTCAAAAAGCTGATGTAAAATATCAATAGATATGCAAAAAATATAATAAGTATACAGTTATATAAATAATTAATATTTCATATAAATACTATCAAAAAGTGCTAAAAAAATGTTTGAAAGATAAAGTGTTCACAAACTACAATAATAAATTGCAGATTTTTTTTATAGATATATATATAGATATATTATATATATACACACACATATTATCTCTCTCAATCACTCTCTCTCTCTCTATAGATATATATATTTTTTTTATGTATTTGCATTTATAAATAAGCAATAAAATATATGTATTGTAATGGCTGTAGGAAGAAGCAGCCACAATGTGGATGATTTACTACTGGAGCAGAGCAAGGGAATTTTCACTCTGTATATTAAATCAGCTACAATGATTACTATAGCAGCCTCTACAGGACAAAATATGTATATGATAAAAAAAATCAAAGGCATATTTTTAAAAAAATAACAACATGTCATACTTACCTGCTCTGTGCAGTGGTTTTGCATAGAGCATCCCTTCTCGGGTCCCCAACCGATGTTTCAGGCCCCTTCTTCCTGCCTAGTGCCCCTATAGCAAGCAGCTGTCTATGGGGCCAACTGAGCTTCTGCTCTATCTGTCCATTCACACACACAATGTTGCTGGGTGTGCTCTCTCCTCATTGGCTCCCACTGCTTGTGATTGACAATAGCGGGAGCCAATGGCTTCCACTGCTGTCTGAGGGAGAGACCCTGGAGAGCTGCTGCTATCATGCACAATGATGGATCGGGCTCAGGTAAGTATTGGGGGGGGGGGGGGGGGGGGCATATAGCATGCATGAAGGTAAAAACCTTGAGCTTTTACAACCACTTTAAGTCAATATAAAATAATAAAATAGAATAGTAAACAAAATAAGGTATTATTTAACCTTTTACAAGGGCAAGTTTTCCATTAATCTGTCTTTATTTTTACCAATTCCATTCAAATACAATTGTTCTTTTTCAAGTGCACTTCCCTTCTAAATAGTAGCAATAAATGGCAGCCATGTGGGCTGGGCAAATATTTCTGGAAATGCACCTTATAAGTTCACTGAGAAGCAACTGGAATGGAAACATAAAATTAAAGAATTTTTATTCAAATGCATTGATCTTATTGTTGTTTTAACTTTTTCATTTAATGGAGTTTAAATGATTATTTAATTTTTAATGAAGAATAATAAAATGTATTGCAGTGCTTTCAATTTTTTACAACACTTAAGAAAAAAAAAAGTTCAGAAAAAGAAACTTTTACTTATTGGCAGAACCATAACATTAACCTTCAGATTGGCATTATGAATAAAAGCCAAAGGCGAAGGACGGCAAGATAAAACCGCTAGTGGTATGACGCCATGTGTAGTTAATAACAGCTCTTATCGAGAATTTGGATAAAAAGTAAAATGTTATCACAAGGCATAAGAGCCGCAAAGTTCGATTCTATTTACTCTCCATTCTAATGGAAAAGTGGCACAGGTTTGCCGCATGCTGACCCAGGGCAGGTGCCTGTAAACAAACGTATAAGCCGCAGCCAATCTAGTCGCGTGGAGAGTCCATTAAGTGGTTTATCTTCTATCTGGAAATGTACTTATCTTCATTTAAATACAGCTATCTTCCCATTTTGTATTCTAATAGCAGTGCTGTGGAAGAAAACCTGAGTGTACATTAGACGTTTCCACAGATTGTGGGGTATTGCTGCAGCGGTTAATGCGTAAATGCTGAGTAAATGAAAAAAAAGATTAGAAAACTGCACGTGTTGGAATGCCCAGGTACGTTTGTACAGTACAAAGGGATGTATTACTGAGGTATACATACATTTGCTCATGGCTCAAGCATCTAATATTGGCGTCTTGCCTCAGCAGTAACCCCTCTGTGACCACAAAGAGGCAATTGTATGAGGGGTTATTGCTACCAACGGTATGTGGGACAGAAAAGTCTTATGGTCGTATTTACCTCTTTGCACTTTTTATTAAGGCCAACTGAGCTTTTAGTTTTTAGTTTCAACTAAATACATTGTAGATGCATTAAAACAAAAGGTATACACAATCCTACAATTTATTTTCATTAGAAATTAGACACCTAAGTAGAAAGGTCTATTTTGTGCCAGAATGGCACCCTTGTTCTCTGGGTGGAAGAAGTGGTCTCTCTGCAGAAGTCAAACAAGACCCCTTCTGAGTCAGAACTAGTATTCTCCAATCAGCAGGGAGCATGAGCTTTGCTGATGGCAGAGCTATAGGTGTGTCCGGGCAGGGGGCGTGTTGGACCTCAGCAGAGAGATCACTGCTTCCACACAAGAGGGCAAGAGTCCCACTCTTCAGCATTTTGGCAGGGCACAGGCGTTTGTACTCAGGCTGTGGCTGCTTTCTAAAGAAAACAAACTGTAAGACTTTGCACACCATTTGTTTTTATGCACCTAAAATTTATTAAGCTAATTTAAACTGAAAGTTCAATTGGGATTTAAAGCTGATATAAAAACAAGTGGTTATGTATTTTTATTAATTAAAATGTATAATTAAAGCAGAAATCCATTTGTTATAAATCCACTGCCCACATGAATAGAATTTAAAGTGATTGCCAACATATTTTTTAAAATAACAAACATGTCATACTTACCTGCTTTGTGCAATTGTTTTGCACAGAGCAGCCCATATCCTCCTATTCTGGGCTACCCCCACTGGTGTTCCTGGCTTCTCCCTTCTGTTGTGTGCCCCCATAGCCATTTGCTGTGGGGGCACTCAAGCAAGCTCGATCCCTAACTATGTTGTGTTTCCATTGATGCAAAGGGTGACTCTGCCCCTTGCTCTCTGCTCACTGGCTGTGATTGAAAGCAGCAGGAGCCAATGGATCCCACTGCTGCCTCCATGTCCAGTGAGGAGAGAGAGAGAGAGGAGAGAACCACTGCTCTCGGGCACAGCGCTGGATCGAGATCAGGCTCTAAATAAGTATGCTGAAGGGCTGGGGGGGAGCTACATAAAGGTTTTTATTTACCTTAATGCAGAAAATGCACTACGGTAAAAAAAACCTTCTACCTTTAAAACCACAAAAAAAAAGGCTTTTGCTGTAATACTCACTTCCTTTCTGGCATTGGCTCCGACAAATGTACAGCTCCTGGCCCCAGTCTTCACTCCTCTTCTACATTGAATGATGGCCAGCATCATCCAACCCACTGCCTTTGAGCCCAGGCTGTCAATGCCACACCCCTTGGGGGCATGCGCTCACAGTACTCTTACTGAATTCCTTAAGCTGAGCACACACCCATGGTGGAAGGAAAGAACATTGCTTAATCTATGAGCTGCTTTAGTTGAACCTTCTCCATAATATTGTGTAAAGAGCAAAAGTGTAATGAGCTACTGGAACCAAATAGAAGTCCTCTCTTAGATGATCTGACTATGGTATACTGCTCTGTGTTACAACACTTTCCACATGTTAATTGTACTCTGCACTGCCTTGCTGAATACGTCTGAGACTGTTTTCCTTTAAAGCTTCCATTCTCTGCAATCCATATATTGACTGTGGAAAGAGTGCATGTGACATGTCTCTGAATGCCTTCCTTCAATGCAGAGAGAAACAGCAGAATATACAGGAGGTCACTTTGAACCAAGAAGTAAATAAACAATTAACAATTCAGGTAGTGGTGTTAGTGGTGAGAGGAGGGCAATGTCCAATTAAAGTGTACCTGTGGTGTACTTAATTCTCAAAGATCAAAATCACAAAGTTTCTAATAGTTTAGAACACCTGATGCCTAAGGAATTAAGTGGGGATGATTTGTAATTTCAGTACTTCTATTATGAAATTTGTGGTTGAATTGTTCCACAATGCCTGCAGCCACAGGGGTCAGTAAGAGTTGGTTTTAAAGCTCATGTACTGCATAGAAGAATGGTTAGGAATATGCACAATTGTGAATGTTTATAGCCTAACAACAGGTTCACATTAATATCCAGTCTCACACAGGATACAAAATATGCTAGAAACAAAGCTCCTAATTGACTGAAGAACTGTCCTTCTTTTGGAACCAGATCTTTCTGTCCCTTGTGTTAGCTAGATGTACCATTTAATTGCCAAATGTTTATTAATACACAAAACGCTTCATCCAACCTTCTAAATGATTGACTTTATTATTTCGAAAAGGTAGTAAAAAGGAAAAGTAGCGTAAAAAAGGCTCAGTGGATTTAACTAATATTTTTTGTGCATGAAATCTTCATGGTCTGCTTAACAGGTTGCATTTTACCTGTATGCCTTGGGCTAAAAGGTGATCCTCTTTCCCATCCTAAAATGTTGGAAGGTATGTGGACATATGAATAGATGCAAAATTGTATTATGGTATTAGTACTTCCAGCAGTTGACTTAGACCATATACAGTAGGATTTTGATTGGGAAGCTCAGACATACCAACAATAATGTAATATCTGTGTCCTATTAGATTTAACTAAACAGATCTTTGAAGACTGGCTTCTTTATAACACTCGTGCAGGCTTAATCAATAAAATAGCCATAGAGCAAAGTCTAGTACCGGCAGTAACCAATCAGCATCCACCTTGCATTGGTCAGGTGTCTGTCTAGGTGCAATGGGTGACTGCACTGTGCACCTATCACCTTGAATTATTTACTTGACTAAGGTCTCTGGTCATGAATCCTTTTTTATGTAAAATAGATGTAAAGAATTCAGTTTTAAAACTGATCATCTCATAATAATGTCTTGATTTGGGTATAAATATTGTCTGATAAAAAAGAAAACACCAACCTTGAATTGTCCTTTTGAAAAAAGCCTTACAGGCCTCACATGAAGCCACCCCATAATGGTAGCCTGATGCTATGTCTCCACACACCAGACACAGTCTTTTGGGCATTGCATTGAGCATGTATTCACATTTGGTCTGTGAATCTTCAGCGATGGTGCTGGAGCAGTCATCGTAACGTTTCCTGACAGGCCCATTGCCACCAAGGCCTGTAGCCGAAGGGTACAAGGGTGGTGAGTCCAGTCCATTCTGGTGCCCGTTCATGGTGGAACTGTAGCTTCCGCTGGCGTCGGAGGAGCCACCTGGGCTGTGGTGGTTGATACTGTCCGTCAGGGAAGCTGGACTTGAGGGTTCCGTCTTGATGTATGACGAGCAGCTGGAATCAATGTGTCGATCTTTGCTTGACATTCTGCAGAGAAGCCTGCATGGTAATAAGGAGGAGGAGAGAAAAGAGAAGACTCCGTTTAATAAAAAGCAAGCTTCCTTTTCTTTAAGATTGCTCTGTAGGGGCTAAAGACTGCACATCATTCATCCATCAGTCAATAACTCTTGTTGTACATGAAGGTAATCAGCATAAGGGCATGACAGAGATTTAGCAATGTTACAGACAGACGGTAAACAAAAACTTTAAAAAGCACAAATCCCCTTTCCCAAAGGTAAGACTGCTTGTCAATCGCAAAACTGTACATGCGAGAAGACGGACGCACCGCAGTGCTGAAGGCTTAACCAAAAATAAAAAGAAACTGCAAACATGATTGCACAAAAACATGTAAATTCCCACTCCCTGCAATTGATTATGTTATTTTTGTCCAACTCAGTCATTGTTACATCACATTCTTCAATAAGGGTATGAAAGCATGTAATGAAAGTCATTTTTTCTTCATTATGATGGTATAGGAAAAGAATTGATCAGAAACCAGTTAACATATGAGTAGATCATTACAAAATGTGTTTTACGCCTTATTTTAGGTACATTCTCCAAGTTTGGCTTGTGTGAAATTATTTAATTCTGATTATCTTAAAAGTTTATATAGAGCCATCCAGTTGAATTTTTCTTAGCTAGTTAATACATTTAAAGTGTCTTTAGACCTCAAATTTAAACATTAGGGACTACATTTCTCTGTATCTTACTGTAGAAAAATCATACTAAATACCTGGTGATCCTGACAGTTTTTTTAAGAATGAAGGATTTCATGTTGGTTCCTGACAACACTAACTAGGAAAACAGATCCATGGTAGGGTGGTCAGACTTCACCTCTTTTTCTTCTCTGGGACCTGCCTGTAGTCTTTAAGATACACTTTCTTCCAAGTTCCCAGTATTTTAAATAATAAAAATTATATATCAACTGTTGATTTCAACTTATCTTGGCCAATGGCTTACAACCTCAAATAACCCTCAAAATTAGATCAAGAAATATAAATTTAAAGGACAACTTCACTTTAAGTGAAGTTATTTCTCATTGTTTCTTACACCCCATCACTGTGTGGCCCTGCCCACCACCACACAGTCTTTGCATCAAAAACTTATATGCAGGGCCTACTGTTCCAGTATACTTCTTGTCCTCTTTATTCCTTTGATCTGGTCTGTACTCCTCTGCATAGCTATGGGCCACCATGGTTACAGACCAACTGCCAGAATAAAGTAGGAATGCATGAATTTAGCTAGTAGTTTTAGTTGCAAAGGCAGTACAGAGACAGGCAGGCCTGACAATGATAATCTCAGGAGTTTCAGAAGAAGTTGGCTTTATCGTTGAGGGGGAAAGCCTATCTTTACTAAAAGTGAAGTTTTCCTTCATAGTTCACCAATGCTGACCAAGGCCAGAGTGAAATTTTACAAAGAACTATTTACATCAGTTCTTGCCCCCAATGGAGCTACTGATGAACACTAGTGCTAAAGTAGTCAGAGGCCAATTCACCTACACATCCAAACCTACGTAACACAAGGAGGACATACAAACTCTATACAGAAAGTGTCATTTGTGGAGATTCAATCTTAGAAACCTTAGAAAGACTGTTCTGTGCATTGACTGCAACCTCTCTAAGAAATACAGAAACTCTATTCAATATGTGACTTCTTTTTTTTAGTTACTCTCCAACCTTTATCCGTTAACACTAATTAGCGCCCTAGAAGTGGCTCGCCTTTCCTTACAGTCATGTCTTAGGCCAACATATGAAAGAAAGTGGTCTAGCTCTGACTTACAGCAGCTCTGTGAATTCCTTTTAATTTAGAGCACTTACAAAACCACTTATTACCTTATAATTACTGACTGCTCTCACATACATTATGATCTTAGGCTACAGTTAGGAGTTATTAGGGTACTAAAATACGCTCCCTTTTTACTCTCTCTCTCTCTCCCCGGCAGTGAATTTTATGCAGCCACGATTAAAACATTCATTCAGATTCATCCCTCGCAACCGGGCTTTCACCAGATATTTCAGACTCCTCTGTTTGTAACAATGCCAAGCTCTTCCTCTTTTTTGTGCAGTTACTGCTTATCTTTTCTCTCCTTCAGGTAGTATATGGTGTCTATCTAACCTCAGTCACTTGAAGTAAGGTTTTTATTAAGTTTAAATTCCTGGGTGCTTTTGGAAAGTCCATTTTATAGCTATTTTACCATTCATTTGGTGAACTCTGCTCATACCTGTATTTGACCTTTTAGGCCCCATTTGCATGGGAAAATTGCTTGCATGTCCTGTGCAGGGCCGTGTCTTTCCAGCAAGGGGATACACAGGTTTTCCATATCGGCACTCCCATAGATGTCTATTGAGACACATGGCTGTGACTATCAGTTTATCAACTTAAACATTCCAGGTGCATCAAAACAAAAGGTGTGAAAAGTCTTACAGTTTTTTTTATGGAAAACAGCCACAGCCAGAGTGGAAAACACTGTCCCCTGCCAGAATGCTGTAGAGAAGGATCTCTGATCCCATGTGTGGAAGCAGTGGGCTCATTGCAGGCACCCCCAGAGTCAGTCCTATAGCTCTGTTATCACCAAAATTCATGATCATGACTCATGATCACGAGCAGGGGGTGTGTTGGACTTCTTAAGAGACCAATGCTTCCATTCAGAGAGTAGTGAGCCTTCTCCACAGTATGCTGGTAGGGAATGGGCTTTTCTACTCAGGTACAGTACTCAGGTAACCTTTTGTTTTGATGCACTTGGAATATATTTAGCTGATATAAACTGAAAGTCCAGCTGGGTTTAAATCTTTTAATTGTCACTGTGCAAGAATTTTTGACAAATATGTCCTGCTTGGCTATTTTGTACTCTGCCATCCCTTGAAGAAAGGGATATGCTTCCAGATTTGACTGTAACGCTCAGAACTTCCTGATAGGTTGAAATCTTCCCTCTATGCCCTCTACCATGCACTGATTAGCTGGAAGGAATGCTCTGCTTGCATACAATCTCTATGATCTTTCATTAGTTGAAGGTTGGCAATTGGACATATCTAGAATGAAATGGAGATTATGGGTTAGATTTAGTGAAACTGGAGCACTCAGAATCTGGTTCAGCTGTGCATGGTAGCCAATCAGTTTGTTCAATCAAACTTTGAAAATAAAACCTGGAAGTTGATTGCTCTGTCCAGTTTTAGTAACTAACCCCCTATATGTTTGTCTAACAAAAACTATTCAGTTCTTCAACATGTAAATAGGCACATTCACTAAAGAGATGGCTTTTATGCCCACACACTTACAACAGATGAGAACAACCAAATAAAAAAGAATTCATAGTGGCATATCGAGATAGCATCACAGTCTTCTGCTCTGAACCCAGATTGGCAACATAAGGGAAAAAGTAAAATTAAAAAAACCCTTAAAAGTGAATTTCAGGTAGATATAAAATACACAATTTATTTAAGCTCTGTATTCATGAATACATCATTAAGGGCCAATTTACTGTACATCTGTACATTGGGGTTGATTTGCTAGAGAAAAATAGACGATGCACTTTGGAAGTGCAGTTGTGCTGTGCAGGTGCAGTTGCTCCAGAGCTTAGTAAATGAGGGGAAGCTCTGCAGACTTCGATCATCCAATCACGTGCAAGCAAAAATGTTTTTTTTTTTTTAAATTTTCCTTGCATGTGATTGGGCATTCTTTGTAAAGTGAAGATTTGCCTCATTTACTAAGCTCTGGAGCAACTGCACCTGCAGAGTACAACTGTATTTCCAAAGTGCACAGTCTATTTGCTTTTAGTAAATCAACCCCATTGAGGGAATGCATGCATTTGAACAGCACCCCTACACAATAAGACAGTGCACATGAATTGCAGTGTGCTGCATTACACCATAGTGCATTGAAAAGAAAAGTATGTGACACATTTGATTTTGGGGACATTTTGGTGCTTTGGAAGCCAACTGACTTCAATGCTAATGTGTGACATTAGTGTGTAACACACTCCACAAATGCAAATGGTCCTAAATTTTTTTTTTTAAGTACCTGAATTTGACCTGGCATCAACCTCTTGCAGTCCCTGTACAGACTTGGAGAATGAGAGGCAGTAGGAAGAGCCAGTTAAATGTGCTTCAGTACTAGAGGACATGCTGATAGAATGAGACAGCAGAGAGACAGATAGATGAGCTCATGAGAGTGCAGCTTTTCCTTTCACTGTGAGGTCACAGGCTAGAGATGGCATATCTGTAAATGTTACCTAACTGCAGCAAAGATAAACCAGATGTCCTGCCCTGTCGGACAGGGCTGTACTTTGTGGCAGAGCTGTATAATTCTCAGAACAGAATAGACAGCTATACAAAATCTTAGATAGCTTAACAGCTCCCGTATACTGTATATAAATGTATTGTCTTTGTATTTAGCTGTTTGCTTGGAACTCAGTTTTAAAAAAGGTTTAATTAGTAGTGCAAGTTGACTGTAGGGTTCTAAAGGTTGTGTGCCTCTGGGGTTTGAACACACCCTAAAAGTTCCATAATAGGATAAATCAGCATAAAAACGTGATGGCTTTTAAATGGAAAAAAGAACGATTCGATTTACATATGCTTCCTTAACTTTTACGTCTATCCAAGGCTTCTGCAAATAATGCCCATATTTACTTTAATCGTCATGTCCTACAGTGCTTTTAGCATCTGTCAGATGGCAGAACATTTGCACTTGGCTATGTAAATTAAGGGGGAAAAAACGTTTTTTTTCTCTACTGATAGCCAGGGAAAGAAGTATCATTTTGACCCGATTTCACTAATTCTGCCTTGCAGACGAAAGTTGTTTGAACATCAGCTGCAGGACAGCCATTGTTATTCTGCGCTCTATTTGGAGTCGTGGCGGAAATAAGCTCGGACGAGGGGGCGGTGGGAATGGAGGGGGGGGGGGGTGACCTGCTAATTACATAGGAGTTCATTACACTAAAGACACTGCAGACATCATTCCATTATACTAAGCTGCTAACATCAGGGCTAATTCACATTCCTCTCTCACTCAAAGAAAAAAA